TGTGCACGCTTACGGGTGGGTTGAAGATATATTTGAATTTTTGTTATATTTTCTCTTATATTTTTATGTTCTTTTTCAGTTTGTACCTTCATTTTTAAATTTGATTTTTGTGTATCCAAGCTTGTTTGAGCTCCATTTGTTTTTTGATGAAAAATACATTTTAGAATAATATTTTGATGGAGAATGTATGATAAAAAATAAGATTTTTTTAATTTGCGTGTAATATTATTTTATTGAAGAATACGTTGTTCAAAATAATAGGGAGAATAATATATTTTGTAAATAATGGGGACCAAACAAAGGCTTAAAGTAATGGCCAATAATGTATTTCAACTAAGTGACAGTGTGTTGTAATTGAGGCCCCATGATAGATGTTTATGAAGACCACATGTTATAGCCCATTATGCACGCTATAAGAAATTGTAGTAAAGTCTACTTCATTGTGGGACAGACATCTTCATATATAATTTGTTTGCTTGAGCACACAATACTTGAAAAACTTCAATCGTCTTAAATTACCATAAACACGTTATCAGAGAAAATGATGGAGATTAACAGATTCATCAAACTATTGAGTGTGCTGATGTTTGTACTTTCACTATGCATGAAGCTCAATTCAGTATCTGCTGCTGAAGTTAGGAGCGTAGAGAGGGAAAGACTATCTCTTCTGAAGTTTAAGCATGACCTTGTTGATGCAAATGGCCTTTTGTCATACTGGGGAAGTGAAGAAGATAAAATAGCTCAATTCAGTATCTGCTGCTGAAGTTAGGTGCATAGAGAGTGAATGACAATCTCTTTTGAAGTTTAAGCATGTCCTTGTAGATGCAGATGGCGTTTTGTCATCCTGGGGAAGTGAAGAAGATAAAAAGGAATGTTGCAAATGGGAGGGCGTCTCGTGTAGCAACGGAACTGGTCATGTAACTTCACTTAATCTGGTATTTCACTCTTTGAAGGCTAAGCTTAGCCCCTCACTGGTTGATTTGCAACATTTGAATTATTTGAACCTGAGAGCTAATGATTTTGGAGGAAGTGAAATACCAAGGTTCATTGGTTCCTTCAAGAACTTAAGGTACTTGACGCTCATGGGCTCAAACTTCAGTGGTGAAGTTCCTTGCGAACTTGGGAACCTTACAAACCTGAATACTCTTGACCTTAGTTATAACAATTTGAGAATCAAGAATTTTGATTGTCTTTATCATCTTTCTTCGTTATCACATCTTGAGTTGAATGGTGTTAACCTTATAAATCAAACCAGCTGGTTGCACCACATGACAAGGTTCCCTCTCCTCGAGGAATTGCACTTGATAGGCTGTCAACTTCCCAATCCAGTGCTTTCCTTTGATATCTTTACTAATTCTTCTTTATCCAAACTATCTAGCCTCTTCCTACCCAACAATTATCTCACTTCCTCTTCCACATTTCGCTGGATGTTTAACATTAGTGCAAGTCTTAAATTCATTGACCTCACGAATAATCAATTAGAGGGTCCTATTCCCGATTCCTTTGGGGAATTGTTTTTTCTTGAAGATCTTGTTTTGAGTTACAATAAGTTGCGCGGTGGGATTCCAAGCTCTTTGCATAATTTACATACACTGGAAATATCATCCAATGAATTAAATGGTCTCTTGCCAGATAATACCACATTTTCATCCTTATCAGGTTTGTACCTTGGTAACAATAAGTTGAATGCGTTTCACACACAATGTCTTGGGCAACCTTTAGTTCTTCGGCATTTAGATTTATCTAACAATCAATTAAAAAGGCTGCCTGAAGGTATTGAGAAACTTTCCAATCTCAGTTCTTTAGGAATGTCTTCAAATTTGTTGGAAGATACAATCACCGAAAGTCACCTCTCAAACTTTGCCAACTTAGAAGACCTTGATTTATCCTGGAACTCAGATTTGACTTTCAATTTGAGCTCAGATTGGATTCCTCCTTTTCAATTGAATTCACTAACGCTCAGCCATTGTCATTTGGGCCCTCATTTTCCAAATTGGATTCAAACTCAGAATACTCTTCGTTGGCTTGATAGCTCTTTTGCCGGTATATCAGATGCAATGCCCAATGGGTTGTGGAATATGTCTATAGACCAATTAGATCTTTCTCATAACAATATTAGGGGTAAAATTCCTAATTTGTCCTCAAAGTCGACTGGTTATTTTAATATAGATTTAAGCTACAACAACATCTCAGGTCCAATTCCATCATTTCTTTTTCATTCTGAAGAAATAGACCTTTCCAAAAATATGTTTTCGGGATCCATTTTTCACTTATGCACAATTCCTAAGGGCTCCATGATCTACAAGCTTGATCTCTCGGATAACCAATTGGCAGGAGAGCTTCCTAATTGCTGGATGAACATAAGTGGATTAATTGTTCTGGATTTGGCAAATAATAAGTTCTCAGGTAAGATTCCCCTCACTTTGGGCACTTTGGATCGGCTCAAAGTATTACACTTGCGTGGCAATAATTTCATTGGTGAATTGCCTTCAACTTTGAGGAATTGCAATGGGCTGAGAACGCTTGATGTGGGAGGAAACAAGTTAACAGGTAATATTCCAGCATGGATAGGAACTCACTTAACAAGTCTGACA